AGTTCGACACCCCTGCATTAGACCATTCATTTGAGTTTTAATAATATACCGCCAATTCACCACATATGTCACCTCATAGAACCTTACACAGTAAAATAAGGACTTAACTTTAAGCAAAGAACAGACAACCCAACAGAGCAAAGTTGCCCAGGGATACCTTACGAACAAACAGTCAGCAACGGTGGGAAAGAAGAAAAAAAAAAAAGAACACCCCTTCAACAGGGAGGGCAAAGAAAATCATCTGACAGAACCAGACTCAGGGAAAGCAGCCGTCTGCCTCAACCAGTTGGTGTGAGAGAGGGGATGAAGGAACTGGGGGATAGTAGGACGGGTTGGGGTGTGGACAGCAGGATCATCATCATCATGATCATCATCTCACATAATAGATCAGTGATGTTCTGTTCTGCTGTGTATTGCACTCTAAGGAGGCTGATTGTGTGTGTGTGTGTGTGTGTGTTTGCGTTTGCTCCCTATAGTATCCATAGTCTTTTAACTTTAATTCTTGTTTCAAATTTAACAATAAAACCGTACAGAGCAGCTATCTAAGGCGCTGTACTGCCTTATAAAGTTGGACACAGAAACATCAAACAGCATGACTGTAACTCTGTATAAGGCATGCATTTAAATTTGATGATTTTTATTAACAGTCACAGACTTATATGTCGTGTAGATACTGCACTCTGTGTTTGACGCAGCTACAGGGTGCAGGGAACAAAAACAAAAGTTCTCTCCTTTCCTTTTCTACAATAGAGCTAGTTTGATAAATTAATCCCGACCTAAATGGATTAAAACAGTTAGATTGAGTCAGAGGCTACTTTGACTCGCTCAGCTGGACTTGTTAACTGTTCGATACTGAGCTTTTAGAAGGACATACAATGTATGATTTTGGGTTTGTCTCTATTTTTATAGTAAGGTAAGATGTCTCAAAGTCTACAGCAACATATTAGGGGGGATTGTAGGTTAAAAATAAATAAAATTATGGAGACGAGGAGACTGTGGTTGTATTCTCAGGGGAGAAAAAATCTGAAGTGAATTTCTGAGATTTAAGTTGTAATTCTGACAGTAATGCCACTACTGGCGTTATTATGTAAGGAGCAAAACTGGAAACTCCCTGCAATAATCCAATTTGTACAAAAAGAAAAAAAACATTGCAGCTCTCCAGAGGAAAAGATACATGGGGTTTTACTGAAAATAAGATTGTAGCTACAGCCCAGATGATTCATCCTTAACACAACCACAATGATTTCACTGCAGAAACTGTGAATCTGTGCACAACAACTCCACCTATGATTACAATGACACCTAAGAAGATGTTGATATTGAATGAACTTACCTCTGCTGGGCAACCTGAGTAAGTTGTCCACAGCCCCTCCTTCAATCTGGAGACAGTATGGATCCAGTTGTTGTGTGATGCAACAGCTGTATAATAGTTTAAAGGAAAGAAGCCGACACTTTACAATAGTTTATGATGCCGAGTCTGAAATCAGATTTTCAAAGTCATGTTCATGTCCAATGGGGAGCCATATTTAATAATAAAAGGTGAAGCTCAACTCCAGAGGGCTCCGGCCCAATTTAACCCCTGGATTAAAGTGTTTGAAACCTGTAAACAAGACTCTATTGCTTTTGCTGATGCACCTCAAGCACCTTTAAACTGCACAAGTTCAGTAAATGAGTAAATGTACTTACTAACTTTACACTTCTGTGTGCTGTCCTAAGCATCTATAGTGTGACCCCCTATGGGTGCTTCGTAAAAGACAGATCCATGTTGAACTGAAACCTAACTCTGTAACTCTTTCTAACTTTTTAACTAAGTTTCAGTTACGTCACAGTTTTAATGTGTTTCTGTCCTCCCCTCATATATATAGCATATCCTCTTTTCACGTAGTCATGTATTAATTGTAAGTTGGGGATAATACACTGCTCCTGCCGTCTCCACCCTCTCCTGTCTCTCTCCTCTGCTCTAATGAAAATGTAATGAGTTTCAGTGAAATGAAGTCTCATTACAGAGTGCAGTGTGATACCATCGTAGCTATTAAAGCAGCCACTGTAATCAGTCATCGACTCCAACAAAGTCATCATTACTAATTTACACTCTATTCATATCTGTGTCCTTTATCTTCCGCACTCATCTATGTCTTCCTCTGTGTGGGTCACAATCACTCTTTCTCTCCTTCCATTATTGATGCACTTCCTCTTCCTGTTAGGCTTCTTCTTCTTCTTTCCTGTCATTTTTATTTTGCTGTTTGCCCATAATCCTGTCTCTCTCTATATATATGTGTAGAACTATAAGGAGCTGGAGCTTCTCCGGTTGGTCTATTATGGTGGAGTGCAGCATGAAATCAGGAAAGAGGTGTGGCCTTTCCTGCTGGGACACTACAAGTTCGGCATGGGCAAAAAGGACATGAGCCAGGTACCGCACACACACAGCCTCGCTCTTAATTTAACACCTAAACAAGATTCTAATGTTTTATTTTTCCTCGAAGATTGATGCAAAGATCAGTGAGCGCTACCAGCAGGTGATGCGGGAGTGGAAGGCCTGCGAGGTGATCGTTAAGCAGAGAGAGAAGGAGATGCAGTCGGCCATCTTTGCCAAGCTCTCCTCTGGCAGCAGCATCGACAGCCACGTCCTGCGACTCGTGCACAGAGACTCCACACTCAGCAATGAGGTGAAAAAATCCAACACAATATCTACTCAGTGTGACATTTATGAAGCAGGGAGGGGACTGTTTATGAAAATGATTTGATATATATTTTAATATGTGCTGCTTGATATTAGTTTGATACAAGCAATATAGAAAAGTATTTGTCATGATGTTGCGATTCTAAATGAGGCCGATATTACCAACAAAACCTAATGCTGCATCGACAATATGCTGGTAGAAGAATTGCATATTGCATTATGCTGCAAACTCTGCATTTCCTTTCAGCGTGTTACACTTTCTTCCCTGATCTTATATGTCACACTATTTCAGCACTGAAAAGAATGAAAGTAGTAGAAGTTCTACTCAGCCTGTGAAAACAGCTGTATAAGGTTTTCTGTGGCTCTGTTGGAGCTTTGGCAAGTCTGAGATGAGGTCAGAGTGGTGTAATCAGTGTTATTTTGAATCCAGCTGACAGACATCAAACGCAGATAAGGCGCGATGGGTCTAATATGGTTACCTAATCGTTAGGCTAATTGGGAAATAATTCATGATGTGATGTCATCATGAATTATCCATTTCCATTTTATTCTAGTCTATACTTCCACTTTCTCCTTCCTCTCCACTACAGAGGGAAATATTGTACTTTCTACTCCACTACATCAATCTGACAGCTTTAGTTACCTCTAGCATATAGATTTTACACAGTGGATAATATAACAAGCTTTTAAAATACAACCCATTGTTACAGATTAATACAGTGGTTTTGTATCAAACAGTGTTTCGTCAGCGTACATTTTAGATAACAGCTTCACCAAACACGGATTTTTTTTCCCCCCTCTTAACTTCTCATGAGGTTTCATTTCAATAAAGGCTCCAGTGATCCAATGTCTCAGCAAAAATCAAACATTAGAGAAAACTGAAAACAGATTTGTGTATCAGAATTTAGATTTTACTTCTTTTCTCTGTGTGAAGAGTTCTCGGATCTATTTTCAACATTCAGACCTGCAGCAGCTACAACAGTAACGTGCTGCTGACGCACTGGTGTTAATAATCTAATGATTTCATAGATACAAGACACACGCCACTCTGATATTATAAGGTCACACAATGTACCTTAAATTGGAAAGCAGCTACCACCTTTGGGATCTCATAAGAGTCGTTCTAACAATGTAAAACATCGTAGTATAAGTTCTGTGGAAGCGACAGTGCTTCTATAGCTGAATCTATTTTCCAATTTGCAGATACAACTGATGAGAAAGTAAGTTTTTACAGTGGTTAGGTTTTGAGGTTGTAAAGGATTAACTGACGTGTGTCAATCTGGTATCAAAGGGTCTAAAATAGTTATCAGAAACAATCATTTCAATTCAAATTTAGACCCATCATCTCCACAATGTCTAAACATATGTGTAAATCAATATTTAAAGGATGTGCGGTAGAGACAGTAACAGGAAGGAAGAGTGAAAGGTGTAAAAGACAGAAACACTCATGGAAAGATGAAAACCAGTGTGGTTAAAGTTGTGTTTAATAAGTTGAATGGGGACACGTACAGTTTGCATCACATTCCTAGTGTGCATATGTAGTTTTTAATAACAGGCATGCAGGTATTCATGCGGCTTCTTCATCTCTGTAGCCTGAAACCTGCATTGCTTCCCTCGCTGCCTGTCCTCCATCACTTCTAAAGCTCTGTCCTCCTTCAGGTGTTCATGTCCGTGGATGAGCCAGACGCAAGCAGCCAGGAGACCCCCAGCGGAGAGGACAGCACCCCCACCATGACCACCGTGGTCCCCCCCGCTGCCCTCCCCCCAGAGGAGCGTCCTCTGGTGGAGTTTGACTCCCCTGACTCGGGTCTCCCCTCCTCCCGAAACTACTCTGTGACCTCTGCTCACTCCCAGATCCTGTCCAGCATAGACGACGGTCAGAGCACAGAGGAGGAGGGCGGGGGCACGGAGGAGGGCAGGACTCCGGGGATGTTGGAGGGACGTCAGGACTCTCTGACTGAGGACAGGCTGTGCAGTCAGCTGGACAAACTGGTGACCAATGGAGCAGCTGCTGAGGGCATGTCACCTTCTCTCTCCTCTTACACGGTTCGTACAGCGTGAGGATGTCTGTTTATTGATGTCTGAATGATTCAGATATTTGCGGTGAGGCTTAATTGTGTTAAAGTTTGTCCTGAAGGTGGCAGATAAAGAAATGTTGTGGTGTTTTTATCACTAATACTTTATTGATTTGGGATTTTATAAGGGACAAACAATAAAGAAGGTACACATAAGTAAACAAAAACAAGGAAATAATAACACAGAGTGCTTTATTAGGAGCATCATTTTAACACTAGGTCAGACCTCCATTTGCTCTCAAACAGCTGGAGTTATTGGTTTCATAGATTCCACAAGGTGTTGGAAGCATTTGTCTGAGATTCTGGTCCATGTGAGCACGATTGCAGACTTCTTGTCGTCTGTATGACCTGGACTATGAAACAGTACCGTGTGTCTTATGCACTGCTGCTGGCTGTGACTGTAGAGAGTCAGTGCACCCTCAACACAGACAAGTCTGCACCAGTGTATTAGGAAAGTAAACCAGAGCAGCCGTTTCACCACTTCCCTCACTCACTACTGCTGAGACAGAGTGTGTTTGTAGCCTTGAGGTGTCATCGCTGTCGTTGTTGCCGTAGCTTAATGTTACGATTATGTCTATAACACTGACTACATGCGAGAGTTGCAATGAAACTGCTGTATTCCTGAACTCCTAAATAAACAAATAAATACTTCTGTCATATTAGCGCTGCACTTTCAAATAGTAACAGCTGGACACGCCAGTAGCACCGCAGACTGAACCGCAGCAGCAGCCGAAGTCTGAACAATAACTATATATCCAGTCACAGCTTCACCGTCACAGCCAGCAGAGCAGCTGCAGCTGTTCGGCAGCTGGATTCTGTCAGAGATCAGCCTTTTAAAGTGAATAATGGGCGATAAAGAGCTTCCAGTGTCACATCATCTCTCCTTTCTGAGTGTTTCTCTAAACTGGCAGTCTGTTACTTCTGGACTAGACCGACACAACAACTGGATCAGAAGGAATGCGGTCTGAGTCACCAGATGTAGGATGAAGGTATAAGCCAGTTCAGTCAGCAGTCTTGTCCCTTCTGCTGTCTATGTGTTACCATTGCCTTTGCAAAGAGAAGCAACAACAACAACAACCTCCGGGCAGCAACCTACCACACTGACCAGTTTTAGAAACGGTGAGGTAGCCCTACTAGTGTTTTTGTGGATTATCCATTTTAATGACAGCACTTGAGCTTTTACAAGATTGAATTTCCCTTCTGGGATAAAGTATTTTTCATTTCATTCATTTTCATTTCATTTCTAACAATCCCTCCCATTACTATTTAGAGGAAAGACTGAAGCTGCATCCTTTTGCTTAGCCCTGCGCACAATGACTGGCTTTGGTTTTTAAGAAACACAAATCAGGCAGAGTTTTATTTCCCTATAGCAGAATGATAGTGAGGCACAGCCCAACCTTTATGTTGTACAGAATGGGCTGGCAAAATGAGACTGGAAGGTAAGTAGAGCATACTGCAGGGGAATGCAAAAGTAGTCCTCCAAAAATGTTGTGCTGTGACCTTTAGGGGAAACCAAAGAGAAAGAAAAGTACACAAGTTCATTCTGTAAACCACAACCTCCTCACAAGTCGACAACCTCCAGGTCATTCTATTGCTCAGACCTTTGTTGTCTGGTAAAATCAAAGTATTTGACTGGGCTTTTGAATGTACAGTTCATCACCTGCAGAGCGTGAATGTGCTCAACGTTTTTCATGGTCGGTAGTTTTTGAGCTTTCTTGCTGTGAATTAAAGTAGTAAATGATAGGCTGAAGCTGTTCATAATAAAATACATAAAGATGCTCAAGAAAGAGCAGAACCTTGGATTTACACTCACTAAGGTCGACAACGATTCTTTCTTTGTGCAGATCGAGCTGTTGGACACGGTCGCCCTCAACCTCCACAGAATAGACAAAGACGTGCAGCGCTGCGACCGCAACTATTACTACTTCACTACGGGCAACCTGGAGAAACTACGCAACATCATGTGCAGGTAGAGAGGAGCCCAAAGGAAGAAATATTGAGATCCCTCTCCTAAAGCTGCACTATTCATTGTTGATCATGTAAACAATGAATCAAGAGAACTGAATGCAATGTGAAAGGTGGAGCGTGGAGTGTTAAACCCATACCTAACACCTAACTGGAGCTCCTCTCAGCTCCATGCAGTCTTTTAGTTCATTGCTTTGATTTCATGGCCTGCGACTTTACTGATCTGGTTCACTTTGACCGTTCTCTAAGTGTTGTGAATTGGCGCTACATTAATAAAATTAAAGTGTCAGTAGGCAGCTAGTTTTAGAGAGAAAAAATGCTCCAGTTGACAAATGCACACTACCTACTCAACACCAAAGAGCACAAAGGGAAAAGATTCGCAGCCAGAGTGCTGCTAATCTCAGCATTTTTCTACAGTAGATGGCAGAAATTAAAGAAAGACACTGAACCTTGGACTTTCTCAATTAGCAAGTACCACTCCAAATGAACGCTAATGCTACTACTATGTTCACCACCTATCAACTTAAAAGGTTGTTGAGCTGTAAAGGTTGTAGTAAAGGTTTATAGAGCTTTACAGTGAGACTTCAAATGTGCTAAAGGTGGCAGATGAGGAAATGTCATGTGGTGTTTTTATGACTAATACTTTATTGATTTGGGATTTTATAAGGGACAAACAGTAAAGAAGGTACACACAAGTAATCAAAAACAAGGAAATAATAACACCAAGCGCTTTATTAGGAGCATCATTTTAACATGAGGTCAGACCTCCATTAGCTCTCAGACAGCCGGAGCTCTTTGGACATGACTGCTGACTCTCTGTAGTCACAACTGTATGAATCGTACTATGACACAGTGTCATGGGTCCTATACACTGTTTGTAACTGTAGAGAGTCAGAGCACCCTCAACACACACAAGTCTGCACCAGTGCATTAGGAAAGTAAACCCGAGGAGCCGTTTCACCACTTCCCTCACTGACTGCTGCTGAGACAGAGTGTGTTTGTAGCCTTGAGATGACATCGCTGTCGTTGTTGTTGTAGTTTAATGTTTCAATTATGGCTGTAGCACTGACTCCATGCAGCAGAATGTGTCAAATGTCTTAAGGCTCTTTTAATTTCATATTTTTTGCACTTCGTGGCAACACAGATTGTTTTAAAATAAAGTTTAAAACAGGAACACACATAGAATGTATGAGTGTAAATATTCACTCTTTTTGTGACTCGGTTTTTGTCTAAATACACCAAGTCCTGAGGGCAATATGTGGCACTTTAGATGCTAAAGGCTCCTCTATGACACCAGCTAGTCACTGAACATGTCTGTGTGCTGTGTGGTGCTCAGCAGGTCGTGTATTTCTAAAATGGTAGCCTGCTGCATGAGAGCTGTTAAAGTGACCAACAGTAAAGCTCTGAGCTGAGCAAAACAATGACCTGAAAGAAACTAAAGATCTTTGCTGATCTGAGGAGTAACTTCAGAGTCAGACATTTGTTTGTTTCTATGTTGATGTACAATTTTTGATTAAGTATCAAAAATAATCACTGTGCAGGAAAGTGACATTTAGAAATGTGCTGTGTCTAATGTTTTATTTGTGAAAAACACATGCAATCTGTTGTTTCACATACGATGTGTATTCTTTCTGATCAAGCTCTTGTTCGTCTTTTTCTCGCCTGCAGCTATGTGTGGGAGCATTTAGAGATGGGCTACGTTCAGGGCATGTGTGACCTGCTTGCTCCGCTCATGGTCATTCTGGATGATGGTGAGAGAAAAGAATCATTATTTACTGTATGTCTTTGTGACTGGAATCACTGTAAACAGAATAGATGAAAATCACCCACAGCCGAAGCTGACAGGCCTCATTTAATGCTGGAAGTAATAGATCATATAACTGTCACATTGCAAATGGAATAGCAGCCGTGTGGAGTTTTCTGCCTGAAAATTAAGTTTAGCTCTCCAACAATTGGACATCAGACTAATTGTTTCCTGTGGCTGTAGGTCAGTGAACATTTGAGTGAAGCGGTTTTCTTTTCCACGTCACTTTTACAATAAACTGTCTTTTCATCACAATTTTACGGCGTTCGCAGGCAATGCCATCCAGACTACGTGACCGTATGTTCTTTATTTGTGTGTGTGTCAGAGTGCCTGGCGTACAGCTGTTTCACTCAGCTAATGAAGAGGATGAGTCAGAACTTCCCTAACGGCGGAGCCATGGACACACACTTTGCCAACATGAGGTCACTAATCCAGGTGATGGACAGCACTTGGGCAACACTTACTGTGTGTGTGTGTGTGTGTGTGTGTGTGTGTGAGAGAGAGAGAGAGAGTTATGTCTACTGACACTCACTGATGTTTCCTCTGATGTCAGATTCTGGACTCGGAGCTGTTTGAGCTGATGCAGCAGAATGGAGATTACACTCACTTCTACTTCTGTTATCGCTGGTTCCTGCTGGACTTCAAGAGAGGTGAACGCTGCATCCTTTTCTAAAAGTTGTAAAAGTCCCTCTCTGGCTGTTGATTTAACCCGTAAAACTCATCCCTGTTTCCCAAAGTCACATATTTAGAAGGTTTCCAGTAAAAAATAATCCCTTTCTGCCTTAAGATGGCTCAGATGTCACTCTTCACCACTGCTTCGGAGACTGTGCAGATCTATGACCTCTCTCTCCACTCACCCCCCTGTCGCTCGCTATAGCTGGAGCACACCAGCTCACCTATGACTCTGCTTAAATACTGTCAAACTGCACATCATAATGGCAAGTTGTATTATTGAAGTAGTTCAGATATGCATGCTCAAACCAGAAGCTGATTGTGAGGACAAATAATGAAACAGAAAGCTCCAACTCAGTTACAGGACTGAATCCTCGGCTTTGTTCCACATGAAACCCTGAGAGTCATGTTTTGAAGCTGTAATTGGCACAGTGCAGTTTCAAGTGGTAAACGCTCAGCCATGGTGTTAACAGCTTATTGCACCAGCAGATATATATTTTAAAAAAACACACAATATGGACATGAAAATAAGGTTGACATAAAAAAAGCTTTTTCACCAGAGGGTGGCTTTAAATGTCTGAACAGAATCACACAAAGACTGTTTAAAGATTGATGTTCTGGCGCCGCTATAGCTCACCTGGTTGAGCTGGCGTCCCATGTGCAGGGCTACAGTCCCAATGTGGAGGTCATGAGTTTGATTCCCGCTCATGGCCCTTTCCCACATGTCCTCCCCCCATTCTTCTCCCCTACTTTCCTGTCTCTTTCTGATTAAATCTATCCAATAAAGGCCAAAAAAATATCTTTAAAGATTGATGTTCAAAAAGGGAACTTTCAAAAGGCTGACTGTGAGAGTGTGTGTGTGTATGTGTGTGTGTGCGCAGAGCTCCTGTACGAGGATGTGTTCGCGGTGTGGGAGGTGATCTGGGTGGCTCCCAGGATTTCCTCGCAGCACTTTGTCCTTTTCCTGGCCTTGGCGCTGGTCACAGTTTACCGTGAGATCATCATGGACAACAACATGGACTTCACCGACATTATTAAGTTCTTTAATGGTATGACACACACTCACGTAGCATGTGTGTACTTTACTTGTTCCTCACTCTTCTGTTGTGGCTACAATCAGTGAACAGTAGACCAAAAACAGTTGTTTTAGTGAAGTTAAAAAGAAAAGTAGGGTCATTTTCTCACTGACTACTGTACAATCAGTCTTCCTCTTGCAAGCAGAGAAGTCGCCCCCTGCAGGTCATTGCACAGAATGCAGGTTTAATGCACTTTATGTTAGCGTCACTTTTCAAACACAGTCTGTTCAAATCTGCAGGACAGCGTGCTCTCGTGCACAAGTGCTCTCTAATAGACTTTCGACAGTTTATGTATAAAATGTGTATTTTGTGGCCACCTCTCTGACAGTGTGTCTGATCCACAGAGATGGCTGAGCGTCACGATGTCCAGCACATCTTGAAGATAGCGCGTGAGCTGGTGCACAAAGTCCAGTCTCTGATGGACAACAAGTGACTGTAGAGGAAGAAGGAGAGGAAGAGGAATGAGAGGATGCAAAGGGAGAAAGTGTCCGACCCCGCTGGCAACTCCTCTCCTCCTCTCATCCCTCAGAGACAGAGAGTTGGCCGACCTCCACCTACCCAGAGAGGGGGTCCAGGTCTCCTCCTCCCCAGACGAAGGCCCTGGGCAGCAGCACGGCTGAGGCGGCCGGCTCTGGAGCTCCGCCCAGATCTGTTTACATTCACCTTTACGTGGAATGCCCATGGTGTCTGTTCAGACATGTGGATTTGTCTGCATGCTTGTGAGTTTGATCACACTGTGAACGCATTCTTGAGTCTCCCTAGTCCTACAGAGTTTGTGTGCGTGCATGAAAACACACATACGTACACTCCATTTTGGCTCTATCAATACTCCAGTTTTCTAGAGTCGCACTCTTTTCCTTGACTCTGAAACAGAACTAGATGCCTGTCAGGAAAGCTGAAGTGGTCTCAGTGGTTGGCAGATGTTTTCCTCGGTGCAGTGCCATCAGAGGCCACTAGAGTGCAGGATTTACACACAACAGAGGAGCAGAAGACTTAGCCACGAAGAAGTTTTCATTAGTGACCAAATGGACTGTGCCAACTACATTTTCATGAGTGTTTTCTACAACAAGCATGTGTGTTTTTACCCCCCTGTCCTTTTTTCTTTTTTTTTTCTAGAAATTCATTATAACACAAATGTTGCCTTTACCAGTAACGGCCCAAGGTACTTAGTTGCACTTTTTGTGAGAGTTCCCGTCATGGTGCCTGTGAAGGCCGTCCCACAGTCGCTGACGGCCGGAGGCATCACACGAGGCCAAACTATTGAGAAACTCAGGATGAATTGCAACCAGCTTTTCTGAACACGTCAGCCAGCGTTGAAAGCGTGTTTAACCTCAATCCAAAGCAGCAGACGAGAAGAGCAGCAGAGCACAACAGTAAAGGCAAAAGCACACAGGCCTAAACAAAACCATGTCCGAGTGCCATGATTGTCAGGGCTGCAGCTCCCGTCATCGCTAAAATGTCTGAGATCTGGAGATGAGAACGAGGAGTTTAGATGCTGTAATTACATGCATATTACACATGTCCGGAATTTAAGTCTTGTTGGTAGTTTTTAGAAAAAATATAATAAAAATGTGACCATTTTCAGCCAAAAAGGAGTTCAAATCATTTGAGTAGTCACTACTACAGTTATTTAGTGTATGCAGCAGCATGACAAACGCTTTACAACAGCATTCACACCATAACGTAGCTACAACACATTTACAAAAAATAGAGTTTTTAAGTAAATTTTCTTACTCAGAGTAACTTTTTAATTGTCTGAGTTGTTTTTATATTGAGTCAATAATGCACTCATGATCTCAGTGTTTCGATCCACAGCTAGGACCGTGTTTCACCAGGCTCTGAAACAGAATGACTGCAGGACGCATTGAAAATATATGTGTCCTGTTAATCAAGTATTATATGTTTGGACTGATAGAAAGAAGTAGACATGAAAGGATGAAAAGGTGTAAGAAAATGTAACACCTAGTTAGGAAAAGCCTTGAAGTATGAAAGGTAAGTAACTGATTATTTATTCATGTCTAAAGGTGGATGTTCCTTTAAGAATAAGGCTGGCCATATTTCTGGATTTTCTACTGTCAAAAAATATTATGAAAAGACTGAAACCGACTTTCCCGCTGAAATCAGAAAACTTTTAAACCAAGTCTCATAAATGTTGGAATTTTCTAAAACATTCGGGCATTATAGTTTTAGGCAAACTCATAAACAATGGTCAATTGGATTTTTTGGGGGGGGACTATTTCCAGTGGCGGATGAACACTCAATAGTTCTTGCGGTTCAGTTTGAGATTTTCTGACTTTTGTACCCTGCAGCTGTTTTACATGAACCCAAGCTGATGTTAATCAATAGTATTGGTCATGTAAAATCAGTAATTATTGTTAAAATGTTTACTCATGCAGTCATATTTAGCTCTTTAGCTGTTTGGCTCAGTTTGCATTTCACTGTTACTCTCTTGGGGGTCAGAAGCTTCAACTATTTGTTCATTAGATTTCAATAAAGGTTAAGATTTCCTCCATTAATTCATACTTTTAGATGTCAATTTAAACTTTTACTTGTTCATTTTGACAGTTCATCCATCATTTTTACATACTTCAACCAGCATCAGTTGTAACTCTAAACAGTTTCATACTTATCCAACCATTTTGACCATTTAACACCACTTTTCCCAAAACAGTTTCAACGAGTGTAATTTTCACAAACCATTTCGACAAGTTTTGGTGTCAACTATTTGCCCAATACTTGTCAATAAACCATTTTATCTACCACACCTTGCTATCTAGCTCAACTGGTTATCCATAACTTTTAACTATTACAACTATTTATCCATCACTAATTATTGTTGCTAACTGTATCTGTAGCGTTGAGCTTACCGTGTCTTGACTGCTCTTAGCTCGCTACTTAAACTAATCACATACTAGCTAAAACTATTTTTACTCTCTTGTCAAGTTTTCATGCTGAAAACTGAACCCTCAGTGTCCAGGCCCACTCACGATATGAACATATCTTTAAATCAAAGTGTAACTCCTATTTTTTCAGATTTGTTTAACTTTTTTGTTAGCACCTAAGCACCAAGCACATGTCCCTTCCTGGAAACATTGGACCCTTTTCCAAGAATTTCTGAGATTTCTTACTAATTATTATCTCTGACATGGACAAAAACACAATTAATTTCGTTATTCCAGTAAATATTTTACCACACAGCTGAACTGTATTATGACATTTTAGCATGATGTCGCTGCAAATTAAGCAATTTAAATGAATGTAAAAACTGAAGGTCAAACTATGCCGTATCTATGAGACTTGGAGAAGGCACAGATATGTACTAAAAAAAAAACAGAATCAAGGATCTATGTGGGACGAAGAAAGACACCAGGCGTTGGATTCACACTCTGTACTTCAGGATACATTTAGTCTTTTTCATAGAGTGTAGAGACAGTGAGGTAGATCTAGAATATCACCAGCTCTATTCTATAAATGAATTCCTGTTGTCCTTTGGAAGTGGAGTGAAACACGCTCACTGACCTGAAAGCACCATGAAGACTGTTACACTTCTTATTGCATTCAGCGGCGCTGTTCAGGAAAACTGGTTGCAATTGTCCTCAAGAAACCTGAAGTCCAGCCTCTGAACATCCAACACGCTTGGACTGGGTTGGTCTAAATCACAGATTTGCGGTCCCAGGTCCTAAAGAAAAACTACCAGAGAAGAAGCTGCTTTTATTGCCAAACGTTCTCTAGTGTTCAGTATTACAGCAGGCTGGTTTGGGCTTCAGAGTAACAGCACATTCCTGTTTGTATCTGAAGGGAGTCGGGGACATTTTTGATACTGTTTCCACTCCCCCCCCTTGTCAGTGTGACTCTTTACGTCTCACCCTCCTCGTCTCCTTGAAGTGTCCAACACGGCTGCATATGATTGGTCATCCAGCACGGACCTGCACCTGTGATTCACGTGCCAAGAGTCTTCCCCAATCCTGAAGTGTACTGTAGTCATCCGGCTCTCTGATTCGCTAGTTTGATCCCAGGATCGGGCAGTGGCGTGGATGTGCCTCGCCTCGGCCTCCCCTCCCTCCCCCACCCTGCCGCCGCCGGGGCGGTCGGCGGGGGGGAAACCGCGGCCCGTGGCAGAGCTTTTTCTTCCAATCAGGACATTGTGTACCAAAGCCTTGAAACAGCCCCCTCTGTGGCATGACGACAATGTGCAATTTCATACTGCATCTTGAAGACTGACTGTTTACTATGTGTGTAAAATATTTTTGAAAATGGTGTTCTTGAATTCTTTAACTACTGTGCAATTTCTGTCGTTTGAGAATCCCATCAAAGTCTATATTGCTGTACATATGAACCAAAAGCCCAATATTTCTATGAAGACAGTCCGAACATATATATATAAATATATATAACTTATTTTGAGATCTATTTTTTATGTTGGTTTTAGCAGCACTAGTCGGAGGTGTGTACTGTGCAGAAATGCCGAATGTGTGCAGACTATGTTACACGTTGACTGTTAAGTGTTCTTTCTCAATGTTGTGCACTGACTTCAAGATTTCAAATTTCTATTTATTCAGAGAGACAATGATTGCATTGCTGAATATGTATTGGTAAGGATGTATCATTTTCCTTGAATGTAATGTATTATTAAACAAGAGGTTGTTCATTACCGTGCTGCTCTCCGTCCTTTAACCTGTCGATGCTGCAGGCAGATGAAACTTCTGACACTTTTAATAACTTCTGTGAGTTTCTTCTCTCTTCAGATCTTTTCAAAGAAGCTTGACTGGACTGGATTGAAGCTGCTCTAGTCAATATTTTATATCAACAAGGAACCAAATTAAAGCCGCAAGCGGCGATGGACGGGTCCTCGCCCTACGCTTGTCGGCCTTTGCGCACGGC